AAACGATACCGATACCCCACCATGCAAAGCCTCAAATTTATTGTGTGTTCTGACTGTTTGGAACAACAAAGAAAATGACTTGTTTCAACAACTGTAGTACTTGTACACAATATCTTTATTAACAATCCAGCTTTGGCTAACCTCGGATTTATAAAATCCACTTTTTTTTAAGACGAGCTTTCAAAAGAACTTTGGTGGATATTTTTAATTTTAACTTAGGTTTTATCGCTGGTGATCATGATGTTTGAAGACAATTTATAAGTCACTTAAAGGGAATGTACAACATTTCCTTTTGCTGCAATTTCAGAAATAAATGGATTTGGAGGATTAGTATGTTATAGAAAATATTGTTAAACTGACTTAATTCACGTTTTGGGCTTGTAGATGCTGGAAAAACCAAGAAAACCTATCATGTTCTTGTAGTCTGGTTCCCTGACCCCACTTAAGATGAAACGGAGCAATTAATACACTTTGGGGAACTGTAAGGTCAGAGAATCAGTCTAGCAAGCTTGAACCCCTTCACAGGTGTGTAATCAATTGCACAGAAAAGTCAGAATAACTAAATATGAAAAAGTAGGAACAGTGTTTGAAAAAAGCCAGTTTTCTCCAACACTGGTCGGCCGACAAGCGTTGGAAAAATACAGTTTTTCTTGAAAATGACAGCACACCAGGAGACATGGTTTTAAAGGATGCCTTAGACTGTCATTCCCTAACAATTCAGTAAGGTATTACGTGATAATTTGATCATTCTGTTCTTTGATGTTTGCAAATGTTGTATCTTCCCTTTAAGTAGCAGAGTAACAATTTGGGTCTGATTAAAATGAACTGTACAGTATACATGTGTACATACCATGCACAGCAGCAATGGCACAAAATAAATGATGATTGTCCTTCAATATTGTCCCTCTTGTCATTTTCACCATTGAGGGCATACATTTGTATGTTTACGTTAGCACATGTACATGTATACACTGTACAGAGTCAATACATGATAAATTGTACAATGTATGCACATGTAATGTCCAAATTGTTTGTTCATGAATTGAATCTGTTTGTCATCATCAATTACCTGACATTGATCTCACAAGTCTCATTAGTGACCTAGCACCACCCTAATCACACTGTCCTGCCAGGCCAAGCACATTCAAGCATGCCCAGCTTTATTGATCACATGTTCCCAATACCTGGTCTCCTTATTACTGTAAGGATGCTTGAGAACCAATTAGCGTGAACAGCAACATGTACATGTACCATACACATAACAAGAAATCCATATTTCATTTCAAGTTGATGCCCTACATGTACACAGAGTATTCAGCATGGACGTGGAATTGCCATTTGATTCCCCAGAGTGCAGTAAATTATACTGGTATAAAACTGACGCTGAATTTGCTGTATCAATATTTCGTCATCTGGTTGTTATCTCAGTAAATATCAATGTCAATGTGCTTGTATTTGCTTTAGAAATGTCAAAATTTATCGAGAAAAATTGTTCATCGTGATGACTAAATCCGTTAACTGTTCACATTTTGCTAAAAGTCATTTATTGTCCAGAGCAGTCTTTCTTTTATCATTTAAATTTTTAGTGCTAATGATAATTCTTACTGAATTCACTTTTCACCCTTACATTTACTGCAGCCCCCAAAAATATGTTGCCTGATATTGGACTCTTTTTATATATTTTTTACTTTGTACGTGAATGTGAAGATGGCGCAGTACATGGACATGGCTTCAGTAAATCTTTCTCTTGAACGCTTTGTCTTAGAACTTGTATAAAACACTACAAAACCCATTAAAAGCCTGCATGTAATATATAAAAATGTATACGTGTAATGTCTAGTATGATTGTTAATTCATAGAATATAACATTTTTCCCAAAACTTAATTCCAGTTTAAAAGGGCATTATCACTGTCTGTTAAACCAGAAAATTATTGACCGGGAGCCGAAGGTACCAGATCATGCACCTGTATGACTATTAGCAGAAGACCTTTTGACAAGATGTACTGATATTATCGCCTCATAAAATTAGGCCTACCGGTAAATGTAGGCCCCCCTATATCATATATATATCAGCTGACACATTTGGATTCCATTTGAAGTCATGAATAGGCCCATTTCCTGCTGAGTCCATCACCATACAGCTTGTGCGACGATTTCTTCAGCAAACGTTTTCCATCCAAAGTTAGAGTTTTTGGACCAGTAACAAGACTTTATTTCTGTGTGCTATCTTTCTGTATTATGGTGCTAGTTAGTCTGGTTGCAGCTCTGCTGGACATATTAACCCAATTATCAGTAGTTGTCAGTTGAAGTGAACATCTGATGTCTGGGTGCTGATGAGCATGATGGGTGCATGCACGTTTACCTTCAAGATAGATCCTCTGTGCAGGTGCAGTCCTATGCAACTTTGGAATTACTTGCTACCGCTCATGGCAACGGCTATGGACACGGCTAAAGCAATTTTCCATAAGACATGTAAACTGATAGACATAGCCAATGAATTTGGAACACAGCCTCAAGAACTTTATGCAGATTTATGCAAATGAAGGCATGGTAAGGTAAGGTGTGATGCAGTGGATAAGGTGACCAAATGAAAACAAGAAATAAGTTGGAATTGCAGTCATACCGTACTTGGGGGAAAACAACTGTCAGTGTACAATGCTGTCATACTTACATGTAAGTGCTGCAAATTTAGAGACCTTTTATATGTACACTGTACTGGTACATGTACATGTGGTTCAACTTTATTAATTAAAAACATTTTGTCAATTTTGTAAGCTTTTGGTTTTTTTTTTACTATTGCACCCAAACTACCGGTACACGTACATTTATAAACGTATCAAAATTCAAATATCAATTTGCAACACGTGTTGGTAAAATAACAAACTGTCTAAAAGGTGGCATTTCAGCTGTGCCACTTATTGGCACAGTTGATTGGCAATTACTTAAAGGGGTTTATGATATTTGGTTTGCCGATCTATTTAGGGTGCTATGTTTACAATGAGGACTACACGTTTTAGCAAACTTGATAGAAAATTACATACATGTATAAAACGTGAACACTTAGGCTAACAAATTGTATGCAGATATTTTGGCTATTCCAAAGATCGCCTCAAGGTACAAATGTAGATTCAGCAGGCCTGATTCCAAGACAGGCCTCGTCTTCTTGTTATTACCAACGATGTCTTGTAGTAATCCCACATGCCAACGCAGCACCACGACAGCTGCGTAAGCGTGACAATCAACAGTTAGCAACGGCTCCTTCATGACAATAACACATCTCACCCAGTAGGGTAGCCGTGGGATCGTCTTGACAACCAGGGATGAGGCAGGAGCTATTTGCTGCTAGCTGTCCTCCCTGCTCAATTTAGATAATTGCTATTCTAGGATTTGAGAAGCATTCATTTGTGTGTGTTGCGCATGTGTGCAGGTGTACATGTACGTGTAATGCAGTCAGGAATACTCAAGGGCTTTTCAGTGGGAGAGGATGTACAATGTACCCACACAGACTTGCAGTACCCTGATACTTGTCAGCTAACATGTTTTTCAGTTGGTTTTTCTTTGTTATTTTTGTCTGGTTTAAATCCCAGAAGTAGGCACTGTGAAGATTATTAAACTGTCAGAGTTTTTCTTGCGATTTCCTTTGAGTTCCTGATTTTCCCCAGGCAGGTGTGTGTCATTGCGTTGTGATTGAGTTCTGTTTTTTACCCAAAATATAAGTTTAATTGCTTTGGACTATCATTTTAAGTATTGAAATAAAATGGTTCGTTTCATAAAAGAACATGAAGAAAGAAGTGTTTTCTTCAGTGGAATTCTATAAATTGTCTTTTTGGAAGGTACTACAGGGTCATACCTGAAGTGGACCTGCATTTCTCTGATTTCCTACATTCAGATTAGCCACACTTAGAATAATTTCAAAAGCCACACTTCTACATAATTCCAGAAGCCACACTTAGTTCTGCATATTTCCAGTTTTTATATTTGTTTACCTGAACTCCTTGCCAGGTAATTGAACAAAAGACTCAGTATGTGAAAAAGGGTTCTCATTGAAATATGATCCCTTAATTAAATTCAGTAGGCTACATGTACAACTGTACATGTACTTCAAAAGTCCAAGCCCTACTATCGGTATATGTACATGTACGTGATTAGCATCCAGATCTTATCCATTCCATACAGTGCATCAGCATTTTAATCTTTGGCCAAATGACCCCAATCCTGCCCCACAAATGTGCACTGAACTCCAGAGTGCCTCATATCTACTTCATGCAGGGATGGTGTTTTTCCCTTGAACCCCCCTGACTCTTTGACGGTTTAATCCTACTTTAATCTTGGCCGTAAATCTTCATAACTGATCATCTGGAATACTCATGCTGATGTTTAGGAGGACCTTTACACAAGCTGAGCAAGAGATGTTGGCTAATCATTTCTAAGACGTCAGCCCGTCCTCATCAGAGCAGTAAAATTAGACACGTTATTACTGGTCTTCTTAAAACAATTTATTTTGACCAAAGGGAATGTGTCATTTTTTGTTTGTTTACGGAACTTCTGAACTATTTAGACAGTTCCTTAATTGTTTGAAAATGTTAGCTGAATGCAGTTTTGTCCACAGGATTTCTCAGTCTTATTTAGTTGCTTAAATATATGTGTTGTATCTTGAGAACAAACTGGGATTATTTTAATAACATAACATAAATGTTGAATATAGTAAAAAAAAAGGGGGGAACAAAAATACTGTCACAGATTCAGTAAAAAAAACCACAATTATCATTTTGGTTTTTTTAATTTTATTTCAAAATTGTTATTTTGTGAATTCATCAATTGTAAAGAATCATTTCCCCTTGATTCAAATTCAGTTCTTACCTTACAAGGTACAACTTAAGTGCAAGAAGCTTACTACATGTTAATCCTTGCATAATATGCAGGATGAAGCTCAGTGTCTGCAATTTGAAACCAAGTTTCTTGATTTTTTTTGTCTTGGCCTTCTCCCTGTATCTCTCAGCCACAGGTAGGCCTAGCCAGACGCAGCATATTACCTTACCAGAGACACTGCAACAGATCCCTCTAGCTACAGAACTACCATGCTTAAGACATCGCTGGAATACTAATGAGGTATGTATGACAACTTCCAACCATTACTAACAAGATCTGGCTCGTTATGGCCTTGTTCTGGTCAGTGTTTTCAAGGCGTTAGGAAATTGTCATATTTGTGACTCCCAGCCAGTGGTGGTGCATTTGCAGTTTTAGTTGGCTTGAAAACACAAACTTGTACACATGTACACATAAAATTGTTTTTAAAACTAGATTCTTTTTGTCTGAAAGGAGATTTTTATACTGTAGTGCTGTGATGGGCTTTTGATTATAGTTTCAAATGCTTGATTGTAGTCACAGTTGAATAGAAATAATCAACTGAATCTGGCAGAAATGATACAGTTTTCTTTGGACAAATGTGTGTAGGTACAGGCTGGTCATATTACCTTCCAATTCTATTTTGTAGGGTAACTTCTGTACCAGGAATTCATGGGTGAACAGTGAAATTGTTACTTTTTTGTAAATGTACATATTGTACAAATGTGAATGTGATCATGCTGTGTGGATTATTCTTAGTGACCTGCATGTTCATGTGCATGAGCCACATGCTCTTCGCACAGAATACATCCATCAAGATAGCACCAACGGCCATTAAAAGAGCGTTATTTGCATTATTGCACACATCACTAATCAAGCATTCATTCAGCTACTGACTTGGATCTCCTATGTGCTCACCCTTGACGAGACTATATGGATGCTAAAAATACCTCACCTTTTTAGAAATTTCAAGGTTTTCCTTACACGTATTTAAATAATTGAAAACTTTATTAAAATACGTAAAATCACTGGTGCTATCCTTGATCTGGAATTGCTTCCTGATGACATTTTCCTTTTTACAAATCAGCCGAGTATACATTTATTTATTTATCTATTTATTTCATTTTCCGGGATATTACAAACAATGAATCATAGACAAAACAATTACATGTACAAATAACACTGAGTAGTAAACATAACAGAAAACATAACAGAAAACAACACCCAAAAAGCTCCCGTAGGATCACCCAAAAGAAACAAGTTTCTGTCGAGGGGCTCTCCAAACTAATTGGATAACAGTGATTAATACATGATGAGCCAACACCTGCTGAGTTCAAGAAAAAAAATACATGTGTTCCCAGTTGCCCAAATCTTTCATTCAAAAAACTTGCTGTGCTGCCCTTACCCTAGTTATTATAAGTTGATCTAAAGTCAGGTTTTGCCGAACCATGCAGCGAAGCCTTTAAACAGCACAGCAAATGCAGAATCAATAGTTGAATATCATCGCTATAAGAAACTAGGGCAAAAAAAAACACCCATACATTGTACACCCTGGGTTTGTTTTGTTTTGGGTTTTTTCAGGAAAAAAAATAGGAAACATAATTTTTTTCTCTTTGCACTTTGCCTGATACAACAACACATGTTCATCATAAGATTTCTCTTCACTCTTTGGCCTTTGCAGTTTGCAGAGTGTTGCTGTATTGGAACATAATTGAAGCTACAATTGTTGTGCAAAATGTACTTTTGACTTAAAAAATCTAACTAGCCAACCCTTTAGCACCTGCACTTCATTGTATTACATTGTATCTACATTCTGTTACATTGGATCTACATGGTATTACATTGTATCCACATTGTATTACATTGTATTACATTGTGTCTACATTGTATTACATTGTACAATGTATTCCCTGATGAATCCATACAACCATAGAGTGTCTAGGTGGTTTGGGGTGGTACCAGTATGTACCTGTACATTGTCCAAACGCTTAAAGGGGCACTAGGTCCTGAAATCCCCCAAAATGTCATGTTTTGGATTGTTACTTACCGGTAGCCTATTTCAAACATCTGGTCGAAAGGAAACCAACCTAATGTCTTACCGTTCCCGAGAAAAGACGAAAAAAAAACGCTTGTTTACATCGGACATGACGGAGTACGAATACGTCTTTCGTGTCGTTCTCATGTACGCTATACATGTTGTGTGTCTCGGGAACAGCGCGCGGTGACCAATCACCAATGCAAAAAATTGTGGTTTCTTTAACGTCCGCAAAAGGCGAACACTTTACGTGTAGGAATGAAATCACAACTAGCATCCAAACAGCTCGAATTTATGGGGTCGCAAAAGTGGACCCCGAAATTCGTTCTCGCACGCATAATACAGGAATAGCACAAAAACGCCCAGTTTTGAAAGGATAGTTGTGTGGATGTTTATTTTATACTTTTAAAAGTTATTTCTGATTATCATCATCTCGTTCAAAGCACGTTTTGTAGCCCAATTGGGCTGTTCCAGGACCTATGTCCCTTAAGTTTTTTTCGCTAGATGGTGGAGCCTCCCTTTCATTTCCACATCCCATCATGCGTTGAGTAGACGCCATGCCATGCTTCAATCCTAAGCATCTGTGTGCCAGTTCACTGTGTGCTCATTAGGGTAATACCACTCTAGCTAATGAAAGGAACATGCAAAGCTCTCAGCTGTGACTGCGGCTCGTTGAGCATCTTAACAGTCTTGCTGCACCATTCACTGCAGGTGTGTCTTCATTTCACGGATGACTACATCAGCCACCATTGCTTTGTAATACATGTAGCTTCTCCCTTCTCCGTGAAGGCTTTTATGAATGTTGCGAATCTTCCAATTTTAATACAATTTTGCAAACCCCCCTTGGAGTTTGTTAACGAAAACTGTTCACTTGCTCTGATTTTGGGCCTGGTACAGGTACAGGTATTTAGGAAATACTTTGGAAATGTGTTGACACAGGGCATTGAAGGCGAGCATTGTTCATTTTCATTGAATTGTACGTTTAAAGCATATATAGATACCAGTTTGTTTTTGGTCTTAAGTGTTCTCCAACATGTTCTTTTGTTACTCCCTCTCTCCTTTTTGTTTTAGGAGGGGGAAGGAAATACATTACTTTTTGTTGTCTTTTATCATTTTGGTTTTGTCTTGCAATGTTATTTTATTTCTCAATTACTCTTTTCCTTCCACCGATACGTGTTTGTACATGTATGTCTGCCTCCCTACCCCTATCATTTTGCATGCTAGGATCACAGTGTAAGGCCCTCTAAATGTTTGATTTTTTTTTCCATCACTGTCAGTCTCTCCATACATGTATTTTGCTTTCATCTCGTCTTTTATTTACACCTTCCTCTTCATTGAGCTCCTCCATGAAATATGCAGCAAGTCTTCCAACCCTTAACACCAACCGTCTTGCCGTGGATGCAGAGACGATCTTATTGGAAAGTAATCATGATTGAGGAGTGACACGGAGTCTGAGCGAGTCTTCATGCTACGAGGAGCTTAATTCATAGCTTAGTGGATGAACTGTCTATAGTCATTAGTGGAGGACTGGGGGGAATAAGATACAGTATTGACTGTCAGTTAATAATAGAAGACCAGCAGGTTGAAAACAAGGCATCATCAAGTTCTCAAGAATGAGTTCCATGTACTGTGTGCTCAGTTGTCTTGACACATTCTTCATTAATGCTCCTACCCTCTCCCAATGGTCATAAAATGCAACAGGATTATTACGATTCATGCAAATATAAGATCCAGTGGAAAAAAAATTGATAATAACATTCATCATCATGAATGAATGGTGATAAATGAATCAAACTTCCATGTACACGTACCTGTACATTGTAAGGATGCGTAACTTTCTCAAATATTATTTCATTAGTCAAGTAATTCGTGCAAAATGAATACTTGATATTAAAGTGATCACAAAAAATTACTGAAATAAGAAAGATAGAACTGACTTGTAAAATATGTATATTTTTCTAAAAGTAAAAAAATAATGAAGGTTATGAATAAATGATTAATAGATGTAAAAATACTTTGAATTGCTTTAAATAAAAAACAACTTCTTCTCAATGAAAGAACTTTTTAAAAATAATGGTAATGCCAATAGGGTACATTTGTGTACATTAGATGGACGCATTATTCCTCACTGTAGATTTCATGCAACTTCTTACAAGATGATTTTTACAAGCCCGTTATGTCTCTCCTAATCACATTTCTTGTCCGTCACCTTGAGACTTTCACACCTTCCTCAAGGATGTCACCATACCTATCATGTCATGGTTGCCCTATATGCCTCATTCCGCTGGGCTGTTCTCTGTCTTGCATGAGATCTGCCAATAAACCTCATCAGGTTTGGCCTTGAGCAGCAGCCTCCACCCAGCTGTCTGGCCAAGTTTTTTTATATGTGTATTTTCCTCACTGTGTAGTGGTTCTGTATATTTTTGTTTTCAATTTTGACGTGTTTTTTGACAGCCGGTCAGAATTATTCCCAAGACATATTTAACCATTTGGGTTCCATACTTGCAGCCCAGATTGGAATTCCTGTGGTTTGAATGTAAGGCCTCTCAGGACTCTAACAGTCTAAGACCACAGGCTCCAATGCTCCAGTTCCTTCTACTCATTCATGTCATTCCATTTCCAGTTACATCCACGTGCATGTACTTCTTTCAGATTTGTTACTCCTCTGATGTTTGGTTCAGTGTACGTGTACATGTAGAAACACTTTTGTTTTGGTTTTTGTTTTGTTCTGATTGGTTTTCCCAAAAGGCAAATAGAGCTCACATGAACATGTACTTTGGTTTCAGGGTTTGAGGAAAAACTGAAGCTCACACGAACGTGAACCGGTACATTTTTCAGGGTGAACATTGATTGGATTTTCAAATATTTTCTGAAAGTTTGCCAAACAGGAATATTACAATTTACATACTGTAACTTACAAACTTGTTCCTCATGTACCTCATTTATAGTTGCATTTCTTGGGAAGGAAAGGGACTAGAATAACCAATAATTTATGCATTTAACTTGTATAAAATTTTAAATAATTTTTAAAAGTTGAACAAAGAAATTGGCTGGAGCGATGTTTGAACTGTGACCTCCAGATTGCCGTTCCGGTGCTCTGCCAACTGAGCTATCCAGCCCTATCTTGGTGGTTTCCCATTTCTTGTCAATGTCTTCGTTCAAATGACGCTAGTCAGAAGCCATCAACCCGTAATTAAATGAATTTGTAAGCCCTTTACATGGAATCCAA